TTATAACCCTGCGTGACGCATAGAACGCAAAGCATGCGGCCAACACATTTTCTTTCAAGGTTGATTTGCGCGGTCAAACCTATCGTGTCTTGCGTATGCGTTGTCTTCTCTGTACCATGCCTAGTATAAACCTCTAGTTTGTGCCGTTTCTCCTCCAGGTAAACACGGATCAGACTAGGATTAATTTCGAAAGTTAAGTGTAACCTCGCTAACCCAGGAGAGAGTCTGTACAAAGAGGGATGTCAGTGTAAATTAAAGAAGCCCTGATCTAAGAACAGACATGCGCTGGTCACATGCAGTTATGCACACGTGTAGATTTCCTTTAGTCTAGACCAGCGTTTCTCAACCTATGGTACTCGTACCACTGGTAGTATGCGAGCCAATGTTGAGTGGTACGCGAACTAAATAATAAAAATCAAAAGATGATATTAACGTAAATAAGTTTCCCTGAATGAATTTGGTTAGTGGTACATTCAACGTGTTAAATTAGAATTAGTGGTACGCCAGCGGAAAAGGGTGAGAACCCCTGGTCTAGACCATTCGTCCTCACAAGGAATTCAGTGAGGGAAGAACAAATTTCGAATTCACTAATATTTTATTCGAAACGTAAGATTTAAGGTTCTGACGGCGGTGAGTATGAAGATTGTATGTTGCGAAGTTTAGAAATTTTTCGACGTTTCGGAGGTTCTTACTGTCTCCGACATTAAGGCTGATGAATGTAGGAAGCAGCTGTGGAACGTCGAGATTATTTTAGTCATACATAAGGACTGTGAGCGACGAATTGAAAACTACATGACATTGGCTTAAAATACACGCGGACCTTTTCCCGAAAGATCAGGCTATAACATTAATTTTTATCTTTGAAGAAAAGAGGTGAAAACATTTAAACTGGATTAAACTGGCTCTAGATCGTGCTTATTGGTGAGCTTTGGTATTAATAGTCTGGTCTGTTATCTATTGAAGCCAGGAATTGTGGTTTTGTTACGTAGGCCGATACTATTAACACAGTTATACAAATGATTTATAAATTGTCTACAGTTGCTTTATCACATTCTAATAGTCAACTTTGTCTTCTGGGGTTTGTCGCCGAGTAGTCTTGTAGGTGGTGACATCACAGTCAAAGCGCACACATAGTAACAATTTTAGTATGAGATTTATGAAAGGAATGTTGTAGTTAAAGGAAGTACTATATACAATAAACTTTTAGAGTTTTTCTATCGAATGGCGTAGGTGTGAAGTTCTAAGTAAGCCGCATTTGTTTTCTGTATAATTTTTAAAATGTAAAGCTATTTTGTTCACACTCTGTATAGTGTTTCTTTCTGCAGTAAAGTCTCTGTTGTACGAAAGGGTCTAAAAGACTCAGGTCACCTTGACAGGTCAATAAGTTAATTACAAATAACCAAAGAGGCCAAAGTTCATTACTAAGTAAGTAACTGCCCATTAAATCTGAACCTACAATAGGGCCTTGGATAATCTTTTATATTTTACTTTATTTTGAAATTGAAAATGCCTTTCACAAAGACGTTTCATAGGAGTAATGAGTCGTGAATTTCCTTTTGTTTGCAAGCGACAGGAGAATACAAAGCTTGACTCTTGTCTTCCCATAGCGTAGACAAGGTAATAGCAGATCGTTTCTTTGTTATCAGGAACTGTCGGCGTACAAATTGTTTTCAGCGAATAAGAAAACAGCGGAATTGAATATTTAAATAAGTAACTGGGTCCTCCTTAATGAGTTAATATGTTCTCAGCTGGCCAAGTTTATTTATTTATTTATTTATTTAGAAAGACGAAATTTACCTCTCCCCGGGCCAAGAACAGAACAGTGTTTCATAAATTTGATATAAAATCATATTGTATCTACTATAAATTTTAAGTTCTCCTGTTTGCCTGTCAGAGAAACAAGGTTGGTGACCCCTGCTATAGGCCACGTACCATGACGTTCTGGAATAAGTTTCGACGCCTACATTTGTTTACATGGTAACGCCTGAGCAGACGTGTGTATGCGGAATGAAGTTATTCAAAGAAGGGAAAGGCAAGGAGATGACTATCGAGATCACGATGTTTATACCAAGATCACGGCTGCGTGATCATTATAAACTTACATACGTCACAATGACACATCCTAGAGTTTCTCAAGAACCACTATCAAGTGGCAGGATAACTTACAGTACCTGAAAGAGAACAGAAAACAACGACTGAATTATATCAAACAGACAATTCCCCGGTGCTACAGTGGAAAGGTATATAAGTCCTGAAAGTTGGGGACAAAATTTTCTAAAATTTCTTTTTATCATCTGTATTTATTATTTTTCAAAAAAATTAGAAATATATTTATAGAATTTGTGCATTAATTTCCAGCTAAAATGACTGATTTTCTAAATTACAGGTAATATAGACGTAAAACAGTAATAATATATTTGTCGTACTATTTAATTATAAATTCATTACTATTTACTCCTTTACCCTAGTACAAGCAAATTTTAAGCTTTAGCGTCCCATCAAGCAAAGATAACTTCATGAATTGGAGACGAAAGTTGACACTTTTGTTCCTACAGTAGGCCTACATCGATAACAACACTTAAATTGAGCGCAGTTAGCCATGTCGAACTGTCGATACAAGCAATGTGGCCATGTTGCAAGGGATCACTTGTCATTACTTTTCTCGTCTTCTGTTCCATGCTACCCATCTCACTGTTCACAATCTTCCTATAATTTCGTACTTCGTTTTAGAACCTCTACAGTTCATGCAGCGTAATTAAATATCCAATGAAAAACATGGGGACAAAAGGGATGTGTAGGATGCATTCCAAGAAAGTGACGCATCAGAAGAAAGAAGGAATTAGTGTCCCGTGCTTATAAAATCTCTTAATTAATTAACATTCTTATTGGTGCTGAAGCCCGAATCGAAAATTTGCTTTTTGTAACTGTGAGACTTTTGTTAAATCCTATTTAGGCTTGCGGGCCAGTCCCAATGTCTTTAACTTCACAAAGCCAGACGGAAAAAAGAAATCGCAAAAAAAAATGCTCTGGCGTAACAAAATAGCTGTAGGCGCACATGCATGAACAGATCACTGCACTTTATTATAAAAACAAATTTTAAAATTAATTAACACAGTTTCATTCCGTTACCCTGGATCACTGAATTACTCGTCTGCCACAAGCAAGTTCGTTCCAAGCTTTTGTTAATTATTTTCTATACGCCACTCTTTGATAATTAATAGAAACCTTAAAATTTCTATACTCTTCCTTGCAGCTGAAACTATAGCCTGGATTCATGGATTTAACAAGGAAGAAATTATTCTTTTGTTACCTGACTACTGTGTAAAATTCACTGATTATTTCACACACAGAGAGAATTCTTCTGTTTCGCCAATTCGTAATAAAAACTTACATCGCCACCATCACCAGTCGCTTAATTAAAACAATATATGATTCGAGTCACATGCACAAATAGTAAAAAAAAAAAAAAAAAACTATCTAAAACGGAATATGTATTAAGCGGAAAGCTGCCTTTATCAGAACATTTACCGTAACGGATTTTCCCACGTAAAAATTCCCAACACTTGAGATTCGATACAGATCATTTGCATCAATTTTTCTTCTTTACTTTTCTGCTTATTTTGCCAAATAACTTGCGGGATATTCTGCAGAGTTAGTCAGAAGGAGATAAAACTTTAATGTCGGTATTTCATTGTAGGCCTGTCCCATTACTAGAGCTGTGTCATAAACGCCACAGGTCTTAATGATATTTATATTTTTGTGCTATTTAGTCCACACACTTTTTATTTTATTTATTTAGTGTTCTGTCTGACAACAGGTCCATATGAACAGGATCCTTCCATCCTTTTCTGGGACTGGGACCTGTTCATATATGTTCTTGGCAGATGATCCAGAACTGGTTTGCCATTGCCTTCTTCTGTGTGTGAATGGAATAATTGTTGGGATGCCACGGAGAAACCGGGGAAGCCCCGGAGGAAAACTCGGTGATACCTGGACCACGGCCTTGCCCAACACAAGTTATAAATTCGGGCACCGCCGGGAATCGAACCCGAGACCCCAGGATTACAAGGCCAGCGTTCTAACCGCTAGACCACCGTGGCTCACACACTTTTAATACGAGCTAATTTTAGGCGCAACGACATTACAAAAATACCCTTTTCGCTTTGCCATATCTGTCTGTCCGCATGTAACAAAACCACTGAGCTGATTTTAATGACATTTAATATTGGAAAGTTTTCCTGAAATTTATCTACACATTCACATTTTGTTTAAAATGCGTTAATGTCAAAACACGTTACACGCGTTTCTCAGCGCTTGAGTGACCCTGGGAAATATTTACGTAGATACAACGCTCACGCAGTCACTTGGGGAATCCCCTTTCGAAGTTCTCCGCCCACTCAAAAGTAATTGATCACAGATCCCCCTGATGTTAAAGGCACCGTTTGCAAAGAAGTTTATGTTTTTACAGAAGAAACATTCTTTCTGCCTGTCTCTAAGACCTCGATCACAGATTAAAAGTTTATGGCAATGACGAAGAATGTGCTGGAATTGTTACGCAATGCGAAAGATTATATTAATAACATCACATTTGTCATTAGAGTCATCAGAAAAGTAACGTAAGTTAGAATCCCCACAACTCGCTAAAGTATATAAGGAACATATAGATAATCAATGAAATCTTCTCGGTTAATCAGCCGCGTCAACTGGTTACCGTAGTAAACCGACGTTTCGGGAACCAACTCTGTCCCCATCATCAGGAGGAAGTTCTCTGTCCATTTCAATGAAATCTCATAGGAGTTGTTAAATAATATCAACATTTGTTCTGGAATTCGCATCAAGCAGGCACGTGACTTGCTGGTAGATATGTCTGTTCGTTCCTACCATCGCAGCAGGTTCATAGCACGTGAAGCTGTTGAGAGCTGATTTCACTTCCCCCCCTGCGCTGCGCCTTTGTCACGGCGAGTTTCTCCTGCTTGGCCCTACCATTCCGATAGAGCGAGAAGTACGGATAAGTCGCTTAGTTAAGTTTTTCGTGTAACGCGAAACACATCCTTCGTATTATTAACTGCTACTGTGAACGTCTTCAGCTGAGATTTTCTAAGTACTTCATCAGCGGAAAGTGTTACTGTGTTGTTCATACTTCGGATTCTGCCTTTCGGATGGTGTAACTGGAAAGTATCCATTCTTCAGGACAGACTGGACGTGTGTGTGCCCCGGCCGTCGAGGGTAGGGAAGAAGGTATCTGCGCTAATAGCTGCTTTCGTGTATGTTTCTTCCGCTAATGGCGCCTGCGTGTATTGTTCAATTTGGATTTGGTGAACAATGATCGGTGGCGGCTGGTGTGACAAATCTGTTCAAAACGGGCTGTGTGTTTGGTTTATAGCCATGAAAGTTTTTGTGTTGGTGTTATTGTAATAGAAGTGCTGACTCGAATGAGAAGACCAGCTGGCGTGATTATATTTACTACGTATCGTGTGAATGAGTCTTCCCATCTCCCCCAACGACGTAGTCGAATATAAAACTCGTGTATCTTATATTTGATATAGTGTATTGGCTGCTTCAGCTTCCTGAGACGTATCTATACAAATATAAAACTACAGATAACAGAATGTATTTAGATTCTAATGGTCCGCAAAACTTTACGTAGCTGTGACGTGAAATTATTAAGAAGAACCTTCAAGAAGGACCATTGTTTCATTCGGGACTTTGAGAATCGCAGAGCATGGCGTGTTTAATTTTCATCCAGTAGTTTTCTGTCGTGTGTAAATGTTTCCTTTCTTGTTGAAGGCCCATTTCGAAGAAACTGCCACGTATGCTTAGGTCTTGTGAAGTTAATCACTTCCCCGCTGTAGGTTTTATGTAGCGCTGAACTGTGCAGTATTTTGTGCATTGCATTAAATCTCCTCTGCATTACTCATCAGTTTCTGGAGCCATTTTGAGATGCCAAGTCAACAGTGTTTTGCGTAAGAAACAAGTGAGAAGTGTTGTGTTAGTTAACTCTGTGAATGTGTTTTGAGTGTTCGTCATTGTTGCTTTTGGTAACCTGTAGACGCTGTTGAGGATTTCGTTGTTTTCGGCATAACATCAGTGGGATGACAGGATAACATTTTCGCAGTAACAGGTGAGCATTACTGATTGATAACAAATTACGTATTTGAGAACAAAATGTATAAGAGGAACAGTGCCAACCTGATTAATACAGATTATTTTGTCCAGTAAGAGATCCAGAAATGTAAACGTGGAATGGGCAAGTGCTTTATGAGTGTTTTGCAAATTAATAAGTCGCTTCAAAACTGTATTTTCTATAAATATAAAATGCCTCTGGGGAAACTATGGCCCCTGGGGAGCAGTTATTTATTCTGTAACAATTCAATGTTATCACGAACTGCTGTAATCGCGTAGCATCGGAATTCACTGTTTCGTTTTTACCTTCTTGCTCCCTGCTTTGAAATCATTATTCGGGTATTGCACCTCGATGCGAGGTTTTGCGTCGACATACAGAATTAAAGTCTGTGGGGTGACGAAATTGGATTGTGAATACCTTTCGTGACACTTTATAAATAGAGGCAATTGGTTTATTTGGTCGTATGCTTTGTGACGAATATTGACACGCAGATTTGTTAGACCCGAAGACTTTGTAAATGGGAATTTGGTTGTTTTGAATGTTCATGGTGTCAATGTTATGGATAAGCAGAACCAATGCAGTTTTATAACGTGTCCTGTTTTCAAAATAACGGCAGGCTTCTTTTTAAATTTTGTGACCATTATTTAATTTTTCCCTGCGAGCAATCCATTTTTCAGAATTTCTAATTGTTTATCCGTATCACGTGTTTTTATAATTTACGTTTTGAGTTTTAGGGATCTGTCTTCTTTGTGTTAGCATACCCATTGTTAAGTAGAAGACTAAACGTTTGCATTTAGCTGTTTCTTCAGGAGACAAGCCCATCCGTTCAATTAAAGTTATGTAGGCCTATATTTATAGCGTATTTGTAGAAGAAAAAATTCAAATGATGGAGATTTGCTGAGTTTAATAGACCCTATTTGTCCTTAAGAGACGTACTAAAGGCATGTACCAAAGTCAGTAATTGACCTCGGAAAAGAAGTTTTGATTAAATTTATAAATCCCATTATCCATACTTCGGAAAGTTTTTAATTTTTGTTAGTTAAAAGGCAATGAAAAATCCATATGGTACGTGACAGGGCTCTGACCGAATTGCTTTCTTCACAGAATTATGTATCTTTTTATGTGGATCACGTTAACGACTGTTCTGAAATTAAAACATTTCCTGACCACATCTTGAACTGTTTAAGAAGCCGTTTCAAATTTGATTTCTTTAATTTGAAAGTAATTTGCGCGTTCGTTATCAGTTGCCATTTTGCCACGTTATTAATTTATAGTTTATTTAACGACGTTTTTCAGTAGCTCAGACTTTATAGCATCGAACAAGAGTGTGATAGTGAATAATGAATTGGAAAGGATGTGGAAGGAAGTGGTCGTAGCTTAATTTTACTTACTATCACGGAAGTTTCATGGTGGGACTAAGGAAAGCCACGAAGAACCTCGGTCAGGAAGCGCAGTTTCCGGGCCGACATTTGAACCAAGTCTTTGTCTTGTTAATTTTTGTGTGGAATTCCTTTACAAGACTGTAGGTGTAGAAATAGCGAACATTGTAAGTTACTTTTCACTCGGCATATTGAGTTGTCTCAAAAAAAGCCATACGTGTATTAAAAATTAAGGATTCACATTGGCTTGAACAGCAAATTACACATCGCTAATTTTCTACGACAATAAAAAGTAGTGATTTGTCTTTCTAAAAGATGTCATTAGCTTTGTGGATCTAACTTAGTAAAAGGTACGTAATTTTTATTTAACTGGAGATTTTTGGAACGGCAGTTGTGTCTGGTCTGCTGAGCTTTATCGCATCGATTTGTGACTCCTTCGGTTCAGGTCCCATATAAAACAATTTTTGTGAGTTTTTGATGTTAGGACATACTGAAAAACATCCTTCCGGTATCGTGTAGTTTACAAAAAAGGCGTGGAAATAATGATTCAGTTCAACGTGAAGCCAACTGAACAAATCGTTGGACTGTCTTTAATGAACAAAATGGCGTCCATACCCCGTGTGTTCTTCACGTGCTGCAATTACCTATGTGTACAGTGCGGTTCATAATCAGTAAACAGAATGTGTTACTGATCTTAGATACCAAAGATCTTTATTGACGGCTGTTCAAAGTGAGTAAGAAGTTATTTTTCATCCCGCGCACGGTTATTGGGGTCATGTTTACATTTAAATGCCGTTGTGCATTGATTTAGGTTTTCGTTCGTAAAACAGAATAAAGAATGGTTTAGAACTGTCTTTAAGAAAATAGCGATTTTAAATACCGATTAAATTTAAGTTACATCATGAAACAAGTGATGTTTAATGCGAAAGTTGTATTTTTTTTTGCACTTTGTTTTTCTTTTCGCAAGAAATACGTCGACGTATATGAAGTTTACGTGACAGACTGGTACGAAATTATAAGATAGCATTCTGGGCGTTTTGATGTAACGTACTTAGATGACAGTAGGCCCATATTCCTCTCCTCTGCCCGCGGAATTTATCATAGAAAAAAAAATAGAATGCGGTTTCTGCACAGAGGTTACTCAACTGCAATCAGTAAAAGAGCGATGGCCAAATTTGTTGATATTATACCGCACCATTGACACGCGCTGTGGGAGGCATCGACAGACTGCAAATTCATGGAAGACTGGAACAGACGCCCAACACTCTACATCAACCTGGCGAATTGGATGAACTATAAACCAGTTGATACAAGAACTAATGTAGTTGTAGTGACGCTACATGACTTGTTCATTTCCAAATATCGATATTTATAGGATGATGCTGCCAGGCATTGCTCAGTTTCCTAGGGTGAATGCCACTACAAAAACTGAGATTGTAATAAGTTCTGAGAATGTGTAATAGTGATGATATAAAATTTGTATTGACATGCAAGCCACAAGACCCTCCTTTCGTGAGACATTCTAGGTTATTTTGGGAACGTGAAATGACAACGAATATAATTCTCACGTAGATCTGGCATGCCTTGAATTTGTACAGGCATTTAAGTAGGTTAATTTGTTATCACTAGGTGAATTATTACGCGAATTAAGGAGAAGGTCAGTGTTACTGTCAGCGCAGCGGCTAACCGATTCCGCCAACTGCAGGGTTCTGTTTGTGGAATGTTTTCCAAGGACGATAATTATTTGTTTGCGTAGCTTACAGTGTAGCAGCGTTTGGTATATAGACTTATTAAATTAATTTTAAAGTAAAAGCTTAATAATTTGCATGTCGTGTTCAACGTACAAGAACCTTTTTCTATGTAGAAGTAATTTGTATTCTGGTGTTGAAGTTTCTTTACGGACAGAAATGTTTTAGGTACGTGTACGTCTTTAATTTTCACGTGTTTTAGTTAATTGTACATCGTTGTGTTCAGAGTTCGTAGCCGCGTTTGTCCGTGGGGTCCCTTTTGCATTTTAGATTACATGGTTTGGCCTATATTAATTCTGGCGTTTTTGATATTGTATCGAGGCATTAATTTATCTGTTGTTTACGTGTTCATTATTTTACACAAAACTAAAGTGTAAATTATGTTCGCCCCAGTATAATTTTGTATTTCTTTTTAACATCGTAATTTTGGGTAACAGCTATTATGAGTATTCTTGTCGTATGCCATACACTAAAAATAATAGCGGACATTTTATCAACTGACGTAGCTACTTGCGTTGAATCTCTGCAAATAGGAACCACGATAACGTGCAGAAACAAGTAAATAGTTGTCCCATCACCCCTTCCCCATCTTGTACGTACTTTTATCAATTTTGTAATTAATAATCGTTGACAACTAAGCCCTAGCTTTCGATTCTGTCGCTTCGAATGAGGGAATAGAGCACTTCTAACCTCGTAACGATTCGTATCCGTCTGTCACAGAAATGAGGCTTGTGAATTAATTTACGAAATAGAGAATATTATATTCTTAAGAAGACTGGTCACTCCATGTTGCCTATTTTAAAATAATTTTATTGTTTAATTCTTTGCCTATCCTTTACGAATACTGTATTTTACATATCCCAGGTTGTTTTTCAGTGAATAATTATTAAGCTGGCTGAGGGTGCTAAGAAACAGTTCTATTGTATGTTCAGATTGTCAAACGTCATCACGTGTTAGCTCCTTGATAATGACCTTTTCATTGTGCCAATGGCGTAGTGGGAACTTTGCCATGTATAGAATTTTGTCAGCAATGCCAAAATCGCCACAGCTGTCTGCTTGTAAGGAGTTTTGCCTATGTACCCGCTTCTGTGTCTCGTAATTTGGAGCTCGGAATTATTTTTTACACGACATTGCTGTAGCAAGAGAAATATTATTTTTAATCCGTTGATGCAGTAACGAATAACACTTTTGATGGTTAATAATGTAATGAGGGCGTTTCTAAGTCGTAGAACAGATTCCGCGAAGGAGCTTTCGTGTTACGGACCGGCCGAATCTTAATTGCAAGTACTCCCACTACTGAAAGGTGCTTTTAGAAGAAACGTTAGCGTTAATTTCAGGATGATGCAGTGTGATTAACACGATTTTTACCGGGCAGAAGGAAAGGTATCGAAACTTCGAATGCTCAGTGAAGAGAAACTGGTTGATTTTGGTGCTAGGTTTGAACGTTGCTCCCGGAAGTCCCTCACATGCATCGCATGAGAGACTGAGATTTTCAAAAATCGTCATGAACTGCTTAATTTTTTTTTAGAGGTTTTGTAACCTCTGAAACTGAAATTATTTAATACAGAACTTGATTTTACTAACAGTGATTTTGGAGTTGGATCGTTTCGGCCTTTCATGATGGTGAAAACGACTGTGGCTTGATTTTATTTTCCGACGAGGCTTGGCTTCCCTTACAAGGCGAAGTACGTTCACAGAACAGCAGAAGATATTGGAAAGTCGAGAAATATTGTTCGTTCCACTACATGGCTCTATAATTGGCGTATGGTACAGTGAAAGTACACATATAATTGTATAGATTTTCCATTTTTACAGCGTCTGCTGTAATCGGGTAGCTGAGCTGTTTTTCGTTTGTTTACGCTGTATGTTT